TTTCACGCCGTGGTAAGTATAGAAATTTGGGTATTGTATGAACTCCTAGGAGTGCTTAATTAGGGGAAGTATTTTGAGAGAATAGAGTGGCTAGTATTTAGGCTAAAGAGGGAGAAGAGAATTATTTTGTGATCAAGCTTGTTGATCCTTGGAAAAGGGATGATATGAGCTCTATTTCTAGAGAAAAAAGAAGGGTTGAAGAATGAAAAAAAGAAAAGAATTCGAATCGGATAAAACTCTTGCGATAGACAGCAGTTTTTGCAATTTTTGTTTTTATCATATCTTTTGATCCAGAATCGGAATAAAATGAATAAGATATAGTTGGAAAGATATTGAAGTCTACTTTCTAACCCAATTAGAATCAGAATAAAATATTTTTCATAATAAAAGATATAGCCGAAATATTGAGACGATGTCAGTTTTGGATAGAGTTTGACATTTTATTCATATCTTTTCCGTTAGAGCTCGGAATTGATATTATAATATATCATTGGAAAGATAATTTCAAGGGCTATCCAACCATATAAAATTAGGACAAAAAATATGAGGCACGAATATAATATCTGTCTATCTTTGAATATCTTTCAATTCGAATAAAATTAGGACTTTTTTAAAAAAAAGAGTTTTATTCAATTTCAAACTCTTTAATCTTATCTTTTCAAAACGGATAATCAAGATCTTTTAGAAAATTATAGAAACTTCTAATTAATCGTAATTTGTTTAGGAATGGGAATAAATAATTTGGACCCTCCCCATGATCATTGGGTCGTAGGTAAGGTAGGCTTAGGTTTGGTTTGGGCTCAGTTTAATATTTTGGTCATAACTTATTCGTTATAACTCAGATTTGGGCTTATAATATATCGTTGGAAAGCTCTTTTAAAGCCCCATCCAATTATTCAATCATTAGACACATATTATAAACCAAAATAAACTGAAATAAACGTTTTTTATAAAAAGGACACGAAATGAATGATTTTAAAGGACATGAAATGAATTATTTTGGGTTTAAAGGCACGAAAAGAGGAAAATAAGTTAAGGTTTGGGGAAATGGGCTAGGAATTGGGTTGGTTTGTGAAATGGAAATATGGATTTAAGCACTCCAAAGATTAAATACTCAACCCCACCAATAATGGCGTTGAAAGGTTGTTCATCAACGGGTTTGGTTTTGGGGAGACATTTTTAGGTGTCTACAGCAGCCGTGTCACGGGAGTTTCACTTCTTGAAACGGTGGTCTCGCGCGTGACAAACACGCTCCTTCAAGCTATCAGCGAATATTCCGCACAAATTGGACAATTAGTTTTTCAGTAAAATTACGCGGAAAATTCTAACTGACATTTAAAGGGTATCAAAATTACTATTTTACCCCTAGCTAGTGTCTAAGTCAATTTGTTAACATTTTAAACACCTAATATGGTCGGAAAGTCGAGTTGAAGGTGTGAATCATCTGCGGCTCCCGTTCGGGGATAATTGAACCATCATACACTAAAAAATTTCAGAGATTACATCAGTTGTCGGTTTTCCTCAAGCATGGAAAACATTATCGGTTGATTTTTCTTCAATTATAGAAAACCGCCAAGTCGGCTTTCCTCAAGCATGGAAAGCGTTATCGGTGGATTTTTCTTCAAGTATAGAAAACCGCCAAGTCGGCTTTCCTTAAGCATGGAAGGCATTATCGGTGGAATTCTTCAAGCATAGAATGACACAAAATTCATCAGTCGGCTTTCCTCAGGCATGGAAAGTATCATCCGGTAGGTTTCTTCAGGCTTAGAAAGCTACCAAATTCATCAGTCGGCTTTCCTGAGGCATGGAAAGTGTTTCAACGAATGTCATCCGGTGGATTCCTTCAAGCATAGGAAGCTGTCAAACTCATTTGTCACCGATACACTGGTGCCAGATATGTATTCTATCCTTTTACTATCTTTTTACACTTTTATCTGTGGAATTAACATTTTTCTACAAGTATCGGCGTATACAGAGTTATTTAGCAGAACGTCTCAAATCATTCTCCTTCCCTATTGGCTACTTTGACTATTATTTTCAAAACTGACGTTTCTACAAACTCAGTCAAAGTGGGGGCTTCTGTAGACACCTAAAAATGTATCCCCAAAACCAAACACGATGATGAACAACCTTTCACCATTAGTATTGGTCGGGTTCAGTATTTAATCCTGAGAGTGCTAAAAAAATCGTGTTTAATTAAATTCAATTTTTGAATAATCCATGGATCAGTCTTAATGTTTGGTCAAAGCGTAGTTTTTAATTTTAGCCTAAACCCTTTCTATTTTATTGTTTTATTAACTATTTTGGCCCAAACCTTTTATTTATTTTATTTACTTATTTTTTTTTTTTAGCCTAAATAATAAAAAAATCAGAAATGGCCCGAAATTATCAATCGACACTTAAAATGCTGAACGAAATTAGGGTTAAAAATGAATTTAGACGGAAAAACGGACTAAGGACTCCCGCGTCACAACATTAGTCCACCATGTCACGGGAAACTATCCCGTCTGACAGTGGGATTCCCCGTGACACGGGGGAGCTGCTGTGACACGGGGGTTTCCGTTTCCTTTCCACGTGAACCCTTGACGCGTTTTGTTTCCTGTTCACTAAATATTTCCCACGTCACACAGTAGTCCACCATGTCACGAGAATGTTCCACGTCTGACGGTGGGGATTCTCGTGTCACGGTACACTTTGTCGTGTCGCGGTGCACTTTTTTAGGGTTTTTATCTTTTAAAGGTTCTGTGTGTTCCCTAAGCACATTTTTTCTATAAATTCCCCCTCATTTCTGATGTACGGGACATCAATTAATTCTTTATCTTTTCTCTCTTCTGTGCTCTAGCCTAAACACTAGCCTACCCTTCTTCTTTCAAAATTCCTTCTTCAAGCACTCCAAGGAGTCCATATTTTACTCGTGGTTCTGTCCTTAAGCCAAGGCGTGAAAAGTAGAATTGTTTGAGGGTTTGGCCCCAAATCACCTCTATTTAATTTAATTTAAGTTAATTATTGTTTTATTATTATTTCCTTGAAGCTACTAACTCGTTTTTTATTTTATAGTTGCAACCAAACAGAATCAAAGTAAGAATTATGTTCCTTTTATTTCTATTATTTTTCTAACGATTTTATATTGTTGGAATTATTGTTAAATTGCTTCCAATGTTAATGTTTATTCTATTATATTTATTGATCACCATATTGCATGTTTAAAGGGAATATGTAATTGAAAATCACGCCTAATAAGATAATTTGGACGACCGGTTTAGGTTCCTTTTTAATCTTGTTATTAATTCAAGTGATCACAGTATTTTAGAATTATGTGTTGCATTAATATTCAACCAATTTAGCCTAATAATAGTTAGGAGCAAATTGAATCTCTGTTTGTATACCTTTGAGATCGCAGGAATCATTTTTCACTATAAGAATTGTGTAGAGGCCAATACGGGCGAATGTGACTCCAAGACTCACTTCGTACCATCATCCCCGATCCTCCTTTCATGGTTCCGAACCATATGGATTTAGTAAACTCATGGATTATGAATGGGGTGTCACCTTCATGGCTCTATTGTTTTTGCCTATCGTTGTCCTTTAATCATGGTTGCCTTTCGTGATCCGTGAACGGTTTACAAGTTCCTTAAAAACTTGTTGGCGGCTTCCTACTTTATTTGTCCCTAATCGTATTATGTTAATTACCACTTCCTATGAGTGCCAAGCATATTCACACATGCTTTAACGTAGGCGCACTTCAAACGACGCCTACATTGGGCATTTAGGGTTTTTAATTTTTTATAAGAAAAAGTTTTTAATATCCTCCGACGGAAATTTCGGTCGAAATTTTTTTGCATATCCACCGACAGAAATTTCGGTTGAAAATTTTTGACGGATTTTAAATCCATCGGAAATTGTGGTTTCGAATCAAATAATCCATCGGAAACCCCATATACTTCGACGAATTTTTATTTCGTCGTAAATTTACACAGGAATAAAAATCCCGTCAGAGTATATGGGGTTTCCGAAAAAATTACGTATCCGTCAGTACTAGTCCGTCGGTAATATGCCTTTTTCTAGTAGTGAATGTTTGTACCTTTGATCTTAATGAAGTCTTAGCCATAAATAATCAAGGACCAAAAAAGAAACTAAGGAAAGAATTCACTCCTATGGAGATGAGCTATGATACTACCTTTGATCGACTCCATGCCAAGGGGCTTATTACTACCATTAGTCTTATTCAAGATCCCGCACCTAAAAAGAGGCTTCCTAGTTGGAACCCAAATGCATAGTGCAAGTAACATCAGGGTAGTGGTCATACTACTGAGAGTTGTTGGAAGCTAAAAGAGGTCGTCTAATATTTGATCGATAGTAAAAAGCTTCTTATACCTCCAACTGGCAAGAAAACCCAGTGATGATAAAGAAAAAGACACGAGGCTGACTTTAATGACAAGATTTCATGACCTCCTTTTTTCTAATTTTTCCTCCTTTCTTCAATAAGCCAAGCGGTTAAAATACCCTTTAACAGCGGTTACCCAACCGCCATTCATCTAAACGCTGTTAAAAGGATATGACACTTTTAATGGCGGTTGTATAACCGCTATAAAACATTAATCAGAAAAAGTGGGAAAAGTTTTCTATAATGGCGTACTTTTTGTAACCGCCATTAAATAATGCCTTTTGCGCCAAAATTCAAATTTCATTACAACCGCTGTTAAAAGGTTCAAACACCAAAATTATAATTAATATGCTTTGATAAATAGTATAATTTTTGTAACCGCTATTATAAGTTTGCAACTATTTAAAAAAAAAATTGAATTACTAAATAATTAAATAATAATATAGCAAAACCTGTAATAATAATAATAATAATTTACAAAAAAGAAAAATGTTCCTTTACAAAATCATCACCTCTACAAAATGTTCCTTTACAAAAAAATATTTTCCCAACACAATTCATCACCTTTACAAAATGTTCCTTTACAAAAAATATTTTCCCAAGATGTATAGTACTTTTTTGCATCGAAACTCCAACTTTGGGAAAATAAGAGTGATTTACTTATAACAACTCTTTTAGACTAGATATGTTGAAACACGTAACGCACCCACTCAAGTCTAACATCATCAAGTTGAGTTTCATCGTAATGGGAAAACTGGCATCCTGCAAAATACTACATAAAAAAACAATTTGCTTAGGATAATATCAACATCAATAACAAATCCATGATAATTCAAAGAATAACCCAAACCGAAATCAAACCATTATCTTATCTCAAACACAACACTAAGCTACAACAGCAACACACTATGCAGCACATACACTATGCAGCAGCAAACAACAACAAACAACAACAACACAGCAACACCCAGCAGAACAAAACACCAAACACTTGCAACACACCAGAAGCAACCAAGCAACAACACCAACAGCGAGCAGCAGCTAGCAAACAACAACCTAGCAAACAACAACAGCATAGGACAATGAACAATAGCTCATGGTAGTAAAACTTGGAAGAATATGGTAGTAAAACCACACAATTAACACAAATACAAACTTACACTTTCGGGAATCTTGGTGCGTTTGTGTGATATAATCTCTTTCATATATCGCATCACATAATAGCCACAATCAACTCCGTTGCTCTAGCGAGGACACTGCATTTTTTATAACAAACTAAAGTAAGAACTCATACATACATTTCATCATTTCATATCTACACTAAATTATCAAATTGTTAATACCTTTATTGTCTTCCATTTAGTATCCATCTTCAATTTCGTTGCAATTTCCATTTCACTCCGAAATTGAAACAGAGCACTAAAGAAATAAATAGACCAAACTAAGTAGACATACATAAAGTTAATGTGTCAATGGAGGTAGTTATAGTTGATAAGAAAAAAGCACATGCACATCTATGATTTCACGCAAATCCTCACTAACGCCTTTTCCCGTGCCTATTTCCTCTTCATTGTGTAAGGAATCAAAGTAGTATACGATGTTATTGAAAGGATCAATAGCACACAATACCCAATGCATCCTATTTGAGACAAATAAAAAATGAATATTGAGAGTAGACATGGGAACGATAATATCACCAAAAAAAAAAGGGTACCCGACATTATATGGAGCGAGGAAAATTTTTCCTTTTGATGCATTGTCTCTAAAGACATCCACCATGTAGTGAATTCTTTTCGTATTGTGATCCTTGATCTTCTTCATGTCCCCCTTTTGAAATTGAGTCACTTGTGATATCCTAGATGAACATATAAAACCAAAAAAGGAAGAGACACCACTAATGCCAGCAACTGAATACATCCTTCTAATTCATTTGAAAACAAACAACGAGGCAAGTGAGTTAGCGAGGTAATTCTACAAGTAATTAAAATAATTAAAATTTGTAAGCTAATAAGTAAGAATTTGTAGTTCAATGGTATCGAAACTTACGACATATATATCTTCATATGACAAAGTCCGATTTGGTCTTGTACAAGGAATTCAAAAATTTTCTCCGTACCAAGATACACCTCCTTGCACTGACTTCGTATCCCAATATCAATGGGAACTCTAATTTGTTCATCTAAAGCAATTTTTGCAGCATACTTGAAAAACATTATCATCTCTGGTTGAGCATTTGCAATAACTAATGCTTCAATATATCGATCAACCTTTTCCTTCTCATTGTCAAACGATTTCATTTCCTGTTAATAAAAACACACATTGTGCAATATGAATATGTTAAAAAACTAATTACTCAGCAAAAACTAACTACTGAAAAGAAACTTGAGTTCTATTAAATTAACCTTATGTGGTTGAATGGTAGGTGAAGTAGGTGTTTGGTTTGATGGGTGATCAACCTTTTGCGACTCAATGGGTTCATTGTTTGCATTAGGGCATTTTTCATGGCCTTCATGAACTTTAACCATCTATAAAGAAAATAACTTATTAGATTTAAAATACAAGAAAAATAAGGCCTTTGTGTGATTTATAAAAAATGCATCAAGAGTTAATGGATTCTTTACCTTTTCTGAGTTTTCTAGACTTTGTGGATTTCGTTTGCGTAGACATGTCACTGGTCGTGGTTTTATAGATTCCTTGCCTAGTTTATCCTTCCCTTGTTTATCTTGGCCTTCTTCTTTATCGTTTTCTTCTAAAGCGTTCATAACCTTTCAACATAACAATAAAATAAACATGGAACCGCCAAAAATATTATACAATTCAAGGAAGAATTTGTATCACCTTATCTAGAACAATAAGTTCAATGGGCCATAACACGATACTGCCTATTGCATCTTTGATCACATCAGCTACTCCTTCGATTGGCATTGGCAAAGGTGTATTCTCCTCTACACCGTAGTCAATACCAACTTTCACATATCCATTGCGATTCCATGAAGGTTGAAAAACTTTTCCCTTATGTCTTGCTCGAACAATCTTACTCGTTTTAGTTTCTCCACGACCTTTTTCAGCTTTTCCTTTTCTTGGGCAAGGAACTCACTCACCTTTGTTTTTTTCATTCGAGTCTATTTATCTGAATTACAAGCATCATCAGACTATATTTAGTGAATATAGAAGCACAAACTGTACTGAATACAGAAGCAAAGCAATAGCACAAACTGTACTGTACTGCTGTACTGAAGCACTGCTGTACACAGAAGCACTACTGCTATACTAAATACAGCAGCAGAAGCACAACCAGAAGCAGAAGCAGAAGCAAAGGCAGAACCAGAACAAGAACAGAAGAAAAAGTAGAGCAGGACCAAAAGCAAAAGCAAAACCAGAAGCAAAAGCAAAAGGCAGAACCAAAAGCAGAACCAGAACCAAAAAGAAGAACCACAAGCAGAAGCAAAATCAAAAGGCAGATTGAGAAGCAAAAATAGCAAAACCAAAAGCGGAACCAGAAGCAAAATTAACAGAAGAAAAAGCAAAAAACAGAAGGAAATATAGTACCATGTCAAGTTTTTTTTCTTTTTTTCTTGGATTTGGTAGCTCCTTCCTCCGCATGTACCCATATCCCCTCCTCATGATCATCTCTTTTATAAAAATCTTCTTCAACAACTTGATCATCGAGTGGTTGTGACGGCAGTACAAAAGAAGGATCTTCCCTTTCATCTAATTCATGGTCCTCGTCATCGATTGGATATCTTTTGTTCGACGACAAAACAAAAGACCATCTTTTATTAGCTGGGTCAGTAACATAGAAAACTTGTGTTGCTTGACTAGCCAATATGAATGGATCATCCTTACTACCCACTCTATTGAGATCAACAAATGTGAAACCGGCTTTATGATGAAAACGAACTCCATTATTGTTATCAGCCCACTTACAACCAAATATAGGAATTCTAAACAGCCCATAGTCCGATTCCCAAATGTTTTCAATTACTCCATAGTAAGACATATTTGCATAAATGGGGTTCTTGTCTTTTGCGCTTGAGATATGCATAGCTTGTGCTACAATTGACACCCCACTATTTTGTGTTGTAGTTTCATTGTCCCCACCCTTTGCACAGAATGTAAACCCATTTATTTGGTAACCAGAATATGAGAAGACATCTTTACTAGGACCTCGGGACAACCATTTAAGTCTATCAGAAACATCAAAAGGTGATTGAGCTATTTCATCTCCAACTCGAGCCTTTAACCACTCAATAAAGCATGAATTGTGTTTGTTAGTAATCCACTTCTCACTCTTAATTGGATAAAGGGTCCTTAAGTAATCCATATGTTCTTCCACATATGGATCAACCTCCGAACTATTATGCAAGACATACAAGTGCGCGCGATGCCACATTTCAGGGTTTATAGTCAACACCTTATTTCCCATGATCCCTTTCCCTTTCCCATTAAAACTTCCATCATGCCTAGGCTTTGGAATTCCAACCACATCAATAAAAGAGAGGTAATCACTACAAAGATCAATGGCCTCCTCTACTAGGTAGCGCTCAACCATACAACCTTCCGGATGGCTTCCACTCTTTACGTAATCCTTCAAAATCTTCATGTATCTCTCAATAGGATACATGTATCTTAGATATGCAGGCCAACACAACTGAATTTCTCTAACCAAGTGTATTGTTAAATGGACCATTATATCAAAGAAAGAAGGTGGAAAATACATCTCCAACTGACATAAAATAACAATAACTTCCTTTTGCAAGTTAGGTAGCTTTAAAGGGTCGATTTCTTTTCTACATATCTCTCCAAAGAAAATGCAAAGTCTTGTAATGGCATTTCGAACATCTTCAGGCAAAATGGAGCGAATAGCAATAGGAAGAAAATGCACCATGAGTACATGGTAATCATGAGATTTCAAAGCTAAAAGTTTATTATCTTTCAAAGACACAAGATTTTTAATATTGGAAGAATATCCATCAGGAACCTTCACACCATGTAAACACTCACAAAATATTTTTTTCTCTTTTTTACTTAGAGTATAGCACGCTGGAGGAAGATATGTACGATCACCATGCATAACAGGATGTAACTCAGGTCTAATTCCCATGTCGACTAAATCTTTTCTAGCATGAAGCGAGTCTTTGCTCTTGCCTGGTGTATTGAGTAGTGTGCTAACAAGACTTTCACAAACATTTTTCTCAATGTGCATGACATCAAGAAAATGTCTAACATGTAAGTCCTTCCAATAAGGAAGATAAAAAAAAATCGACCTCTTCTTATAGCCACGAGTTGGAACCTGGGAGGAGTGCAACTTTCCATGATTTACATCTAAGCCCTCTACTTTTTGTAATATCTGGAGACTTGTTGGAGGAACCGGAGCTCTACCCTCTTCAGCATTACCATCAAAAGCTTTCCTCCACCTTCGATAATGATGTTGCACCGGCAAAAACTTACGATTTCCCAAGTAGACAACTTTCCCAGAATTTTTTCTTTCCTTTTTTCCTGAGTTTTTCAACTTAGTTGAAGTTGTGTTCTCTTGACATATAGGGCATTCTTTATAACCTTTCACAGTATAACCTGGCAAGTTACCATAAGCGGGAAAATCATTTATTGTGCCAAAAAGCATGGCTCTCAAATTAAAAGTTTCATTACGATGCGCATCAAACACTTCAATGCCAGAATCCCACATCAATTTTAAATCTTCAATCAAAGGAGCCAAATAAATGTCTATATCATGGCCAGGTTGTCTTGGTCCTGATATTAACATTGAAAGAATCATATACTTCCGTTTCATAATTAAAGAAGGAGAAAGGTTATAAATCATTAAGATTACCGGCCATGTACTATGAGTGCTACTTTGATTACCATGAGGGTTCACACCATCACTTGCAGGGGCAAGTCTTAGATTTCTAGGCTCCTTACCAAAATCATGGAAATCCTTGTCAATTTTGATCCATTGTGGGGAATCGACCGGATGTCTTAACATACCATCATTCTTCCGTTCATCCGCATGCCATGTCAAACTCTTTCCAGTTTATGAAATGCTAAAAAGTCGTCTAAACCTTTGCAAAATTGGAAAATACCACATTACTTTGGCTGGAATCTTCTTTTTCTTATATCTTGGAGCTTTATATTTGGGACAATACTCCAACAACGAATACTCTTTGCGATACAAGATGCAGTCGTTTGGACATGCATGGATTCTTTCATAAGTCAAGCCAATAGAGCTTAGCATCTTTTTAGCATCATAGGTGCGAGTTGGAAGTAGGTTTCCATGTGGGAGCATGTTATGTATTGCATCTAAGAAACCAGAAAAGCCTTTATCTTTTACTCCATTACTTGCTTTGACATTAAACAATTTGATAATAGCAGATAATCTACTATATTTAGTGCATCCCGAATACAAAGGTTTCATTGCATCACTACACAAGTTATCAAACATCTCCGGAGAATCTGCAAAGTTTTCCTCCAAAGCTTTTGCCATTTCTTCAAACTCATTATCTTCACCGGAAGATTCTCCATCCATCTCTACTTCCATCCCAGTTTCAAAATCCATCATACCGTGCACATTAGGAACCTCCCCTAATATCTCACCATGATGTAACCAACACTTGTAAAATTGATTAATGCCTTTAGCCATCAAGTGAACTTTTACGTCCTCAATATTAAGTCGAACCATATTATTACAATCAACACATGGACATAAAATATGTGCTGCGTCCTCAGCATGTTTTCTTGCAAATTCAATGAACTCTTCTACTCCATGCTCATACTCATCACTATTACGCCGAGCATGCATCCAATTTCGATCCATGACAACTATGATGGAGCAATAACAATACACACGTAGCCTTTATTAATCCTGTCTATGTTTGAGAAAAAATGTGTCTATATATCAAAACCAACAAAAAAAAAAAGTGTACAACCAGAAAATGTGCTAATTAAATTACAAATCAAACGGTTGTATCATTTTGTCTTACATTTAATCATTAAATATTTAAGCTCATTTTCTTTCATTTTGTATCTTACACCATTTTCCAATTTCAATCGTAATAACCAACAAAAATGGAAAAATTACCTTACTGTGTGTTACAGGTTACAGCCCATACACAAAATATACAAAGAAATGTGACTTGTAAAATAACCTTTATCTTGTTTAGGCAAAACTCAAAAGAAGAGCGCACAAACAACATATCCAAACTTACCCTTCTGCATATGTGCCAAATCAATAAAAAGAAAAATAAAAAGATGAAATAATCCTGAAAAGTTGCTCATGAAAAAATCACCACCTTCAAATGTCTAATGTACATTGCACTGTATGTAGTACAGTTGTATCGCACCAATTTTACTAGTCCAAAATTCAATTTCAAAAACTTCATTCTATTTTCTTTTTCTTCCTTCTTTAATTTCAAAGACATTTAATCTCATTTTCTTTCATTTTGTATCTTTCTTTATTTTCCAATTTCAATCACAAATACAAGTCCTCAACAACAAATCAACAATCACAAAATCACAAATCACAAATCACAATTTTCCAATTACAATCACAAATTCACAATTACAATTACAAAATACAACTTTACAAACTAAAATACAATCAAATATTCAACAAATACAAAAGAAAACTAACCTCTGATTAAACTGAACTAAGTCAGCTGTCGTCGGTGACTCGGTGCTGTTCGCCGCGGCCAAGGGTCGCCTTACTCGCCTCGTCCAGTCGTCCTCGCAGACCAGAGCGGAGTCCAAAGACTCGCCTCGTCCAGTCTTACTTGCCAAAGGTGCACCTGTCTTTGTTGGGCTGTTTAGAATCTACAACAAAAATCATGAAACACTTGGGTTTTAGGAAAAATCATGAATAGGAAGATTTAGGTTTGAGGCTATTAGAACTACAATTTCAGAATATATTCAACAACCTAATTCAAAAATAAATAAAAAAAAACAGTTATTCGAAACACATTCAACCAAAAAAATAGAAATTCAACAAAGTAAAAATACATATCAAATTACATTCAACAAAAAAAAGTACATCCAACAACAAATTCAACAAATTAACCAAATTAACCAAACCCTCGCAAACGAAAATAGAAACGTCAACCACATCAAAACTCCTCTTCAAACCTTACCTCACTCGAATTCCTCTTACCCTAATCCGAAATCATCCACCAAAAAATGATAAGAAGTAAAATTCGAAAAAAATAACAGAAAATCGATAATAAGAAGTAAGAATTTTGAACCTGCAGATTGGAGTCTTAGAGTTGCGAAGATGGCGACGAAGATGGCGAAGAAAGGGAGTAATGGAGGAGAGGAGAGAGAAACAGAGAAAGGGAGGTCGCCGGACTGATAGTGACGTCGCCGGAGGTAGTGAGGTTGCCGGATGAGGGATTCTGGTTTGAGAGGGTTTTCAGTTTGAGTTTTTTGCGGGGGTTTGAGAGGGTTGGTAGTTTTGAGTTTTTTGCAAGGGTTTGAGTTTTTGCGAGGGTTTTGAGTTTTTGCGGGTTGTAGGCTTTAATTTCAGGCGCCTTTTTTCTTTACTTTTGATAGCGGTTCTATTATTACCGCTTTAAAAACTTCCTTAAAACCCAAAACCGCCATTAGAAGTTAATAGAGGTACTTTTTAGAGCGGTTTTAGTTGAAACGTTATTAATCATGTTCTGTTATATAATGTTTTTGGCGTAGTCTTCATAAAAAGGACACGAAATGAATGATTTTAAAGGACATGAAATTAATTATTTTGGGTTTAAAGGCACGAAAAGAGGAAAATAAGTTAAGGTTTGGGGAAATGGGCTAGGAATTGGGTTGGTTTATGAAATGGAAATATGGATTTAAGCACTCCAAAGATTAAATACTCAACCCCACCAATAATGGCGTTGAAAGGTTGTTCATCAACGGGTTTGGTTTTGGGGAGACATTTTTAGGTGTCTACAGCTGCCGTGTCACGGGAGTTTCACTTCGTGAAACGGTGGTCTCGCGCGTGACATGCACGCTCCTTCAAGCTATCAGCGAATATTCCGCACACATTGGACAGTTAGTTTTTCAGTAAAATTACGCGAAAAATTCTAACTGACATTTAAAGGGTATCAAAATTACTATTTTACCCCTAGCTAGTGTCTAAGTCAATATGTTAACATTTTAAACACCTAATATGGTCCGAAAGTCGACTTGAAGGTGTGAATCATCTGCGGCCCCCGTTCGGGGTTAATTGAACCATCATACACTTAAAAATTTAAGAGATTACATCAGTTGTCGGTTTTCCTCAAGCATGGAAAACGTTATCGGTGGATTTTTCTTCAAGTATAGAAAAACGCCAAGTCGGCTTTCTTCAAGCATGGAAAGCGTTATCGGTGGATTTTTCTTCAAGTATAGAAAACCGCCAAGTCGGCTTTCCTTAAGCATGGAAGGCATTATCGGTGGAATTCTTCAAGCATAGAATGACACCAAATTCATCAGTCGGCTTTCCTCAGGCATGGAAAGTATCATCCGGTAGGTTTCTTTAGGCTTAGAAAGCTACCAAATTCATCAGTCGGCTTTCCTGAAGCATGGAAAGTGTTTCAACGAATGTCATCCGGTGGATTCCTTCAAGCATAGGAAGCTGTCAAACTCATTTGTCACCGATACACTGGTGCCAGATATGTATTCTATCCTTTTACTATCTTTTTACTCTTTTATCTGTGGAATTAACATTTTTCTGAAAGTATCGGCGTATACAGAGTGATTTAGGATCGCAGAACGTCTTAAATCATTCTCCTTCCCTATTGGCTACTTTGACTATCGTTGTCAAAACTGACGTTTCTACAAACTCAGTCAAAGTGGGGGCTTTTGTAGACATCTAAAAATGTCTCCCCAAAACCAAACCCGAAGATGAAAAACCTTTCACCATCAGTATTGGTCGGGTTCAGTATTTAATCCTGAGAGTGCTAAAAAAATCGTATTTAATTAAATTCAATTTTTGAATAATCCATGGATCAGTCTTGATGTTTAGTCAAAGCGTAGTTTTAATTTTAGCCTAAACCCTTTATATTTTTTTGTTTTATTAACTATTTTGGCCCAAACCTTTTATTTATTTTATTTACTTATTTTCTTTTTTTTTTAGCCCAAATAATAAAAAAATCAGAAATGGTTCGAAATTATCAATCGACACTTAAAATGCTGAACGAAATTAGGGTTAAAAATGAATTTAGACGGAAAAACGGACTAAGGGCTCCCGCGTCACAACATTAGTCCACCATGTCACGGGAAACTATCCCGTCTGACAGCGGGATTCCCCGTGACACGGGGGAGCAGATGTGACACGGGGGTTTCCGTTTCCTTTCCACGTGAACCCTTGACGCGTTTTGCTTCCCGTTCACTAAATATTTCCCACGTCACACAGTAATCCACCATGTCACGAGAATGTTCCACATCTGACGGTGGGGATTCTCATGTCACGGTACACTTTGCCGTGTCGCGGTGCACTTTTTTAGGGTTTTTATCTTTTAAAGGTTCTGTGTGTTCCCTAAGCACATTTTTTCTATAAATACCCCCTCATTTCTGATGTACGGGACATCAATTAATTCTTTATTTTTTCTCTTTTATATTCTCTAGCCTAAACACTAGCCTACCCTTTTTCTTTAAAAATTCCTTCTTCAAGTACTCCAAGGAGTCCATATTTTACTCGTGGTTTTGTCCTTAAGACGAGGCGTGAAAAGTAGAACTGTTTGAGGGTTTGGCCCCAAATCACCTCTATTTAATTTAATTTAATTTAATTATTGTTTTATTATTATTTCCTTGAAGCTACTAACTCGTTTATTATTTTATAGTTGCAAGCAAACAGAATCAAAGTAAGAATTATGTTCCTTTTATTTCTATTATTTTTCTAACGATTTTATATTGTTGGAATTATTGTTAAATTGCTTCCAATGTTAATGTTTATTCTATTATATTTATTGATCAACATATTTCATGTTTAAAGGGAATATGTAATTGAAAATCACGCCTAATAAGATAATTTAGACGACCGGTTTAGGTTCCTTTTTAATCTTGTTATTAATTCAAGTGATCACAGTATTTTAGAATTATGTGTTGCATTAATATTCAACCAATTTAGCCTAATAATATTTAGGAGCAAATTGAATCTCTGTTTGTATGCCTTTGAGATCGCAAGAATCATTTTTCACTATAGCCTAATACGGGCGAATGTGACTCCATGACTCACTTCGTACCATCATCCCCGATCCTCCTTTCCTAGTTCCGAACCATATGAATTAAGCAAACTCATGGATTATGAATGGGGTGTCACCTTCATGGGTCTATTGTTTTCCTATCGTTGTCCCTTAATCATGGTTGCCTTTCGTGATCCGTGAACGGTTTACAAGTTCCTTAAAAACTTGTTGGCGGCTTCCTACTTTATTTGTCCCTAATCGTATTATGTTAATTACCACTTCCTATGAGTGCCAAGCATATTCACACATGCTTTAACGTAGGCGCACTTCAAACAACGCCTAAATTGGGCATTTAGGATTTTTAATTTTTTATAAAAAAAAGTTTATAATATCCTCCGACGGAAATTTCGGTTGAAAATTTTTGACAGATTTTTAATCCATCGGAAATTGTGGTTTCGAATCAAATAACCCATCGGAAACCCCATATACTTCGTCGAATTTTTATTTCGTCGTAAATTTACACAGGAATAAAAATCCTGTCAGAGTATATGGGGTTTCCGAAAAAATTACGTATCCGCTAGTACTAGTCCGTCGGTAATATGCCTTTTTCTAGTAGTAAATGTTAGTACCTTTGATCTCGATGAAGTCTTAGCCATAATTAATCAAGGACCAAAAAAGAAACTAAGGAAAGAATTCACTCCTATTGAGATGAGCTATGATACTGCCTTTGATCGACTCCATGCCAAGGGGCTTATTACTACCATTAGTCTTATTCAAGATCCCGCACCTGAAAAGAGGATGCCTACTTGGAACCCAAATTCATAGTGCAAGTAACATCAGGGTAGTTGTTGGAAGCTAAAAGAGGTCGTCTAATATTCAATCGATAGTAAAAAGCTTCCCATACCTCCAACTGGCAAGAAAACCCAGTGATGATAAAGAACAAGACACGAGGCTCACTTTAATGACAAGATTTCATGACCTCCTTTTTTCTACTTTTTCCCTCCTTTCTTCAATAAGTCAAGCATAGGCACCTCTTATTTTCCTTAGATTTTATTTTGTAGGTTCTACTTTTCCTTTTAATAAAATGAGCATTTCTTTTTCATGCATATGATTATTTCTTTTTATTAAAAAAAACACGCCGAACTAAGCACAAGGTACACCAATGATTTGAGGCACCCCTTGTAGCCATATCATATCCTCTTCACCTACATAATCCTTTCTTGATAAACCACTTTGAGCCTCGTCTAACGATAGAACTTTTAATTTTCAACCCACATATACCTAACCTTGGGATGGGATGGTGTGTAACTTATGCAATTTCCAAAATCAAAGCTTGAGCGATTTTACAAAAAAGTTAAAAGATTAAAATAGCAAAAAAAGCAATAGCAATAAAAGTGTACAAAAGGGCAAGTGTTCTAATGTCATTGATATGAACATGTCTTTGATATGAACGCGTCTCAGATTGTGTCTCTAATAGAGTGCTCAGGACCGTGCCTAAGAAACATGAATGCCAAGTGAGTGATAGATTGCAAGATCGGGATTGTCCACACTTATCAAAAAAAAAATGAAGAAGCAAAAAAAAAAAAAAAAAAAAAAAAAAAAAAAAAAACAGGAAATTTTAAACAAAAGAGAGTTCAAAAGTGAGGAAACCTTAAGCATATAAACACTAAGATTCAAAATCAAGGTTGCACACCTTTAGGGCTTTCTTATCTAGGGTCTTGAGCCTTTATTCCCTTTCCTCTTCAACCTTTAGCCTAACCACGTTATAACCCTTAAAAGACCACTTTGAGGTATACACTCACTTGTGCGAGGTTCGGCTAGAGCTACGTTCGACCTCATTCCTAACAGATACGTAGGCAACCTCACATTGAGGTGCGACCGTAATAAAAATGCATTCACATTCACATTAATACATGATAATATCAAGGGATCTCCAATGTTCATCCGTATAAACTAAGAGCTAGACTTGGGGGCTTGATCCTTACATCATTAGCTTACCTTGTCTAAGAGTCACCATTATTTGACTCTTCTCAAAGTATCTTTTCCATACACTTAGCCTTTGCGGCCTAACTTTAGTATCACTTTCACACACATCACAAATACATGACCAAATAAACTTTCCCATAGGAACACTTCGTCATGAAATCATAACGTAATGTTAAAGCATGCATACCTTGTCATATCAAAATCACTCGTCAATCATAAACATCATCACATCAGGAAGTATGAAGTGCTTAGCCTCCGCACCTAAGTTACCCAAATACTTTCATCATCAATTCATTAACAAGGATAGTCTAGGATGTTACGATCCTTGCACTATAAGATACAACAATCAATGCATACACTTGATTAAGCTCATTGAACATGCATCGCAAACACTTCACTTCTTCCTCTTTGTGTCTTTCTTTTCCGGGAGAAATTCGGTACCCTCCACTAAAATGACGGAAATTA